AACTGCAAATACACAGCAGGCGTCTGGGCCGGGATCGAACCCATGACCTCCTGTATATCAGGCGAGGGAGTTAACATCTCGCCTCTCTTACCACCTCCACTCCTTCCCCCAAGCCAACACTACCTCTCATGAAGCTGCAACGTAACACTAACTTGTTAACGAGGGAAATGTTGCCACCAATAGTTATTACTTGTTTCACAATTGTTAGTATTATTTCGACTTAAAGCTTTCTTGACTGCAGGGATTCATCGTCTTGGTTCTTTCGGTAAAGTCACGTAGAAGGGAAATAATAAAATCATAAAAATGAAACATAATACAATTTTTTTTAATGCATTTTCCATAAATATGCTAAATTTATCTGTTGATATGTAAATTCCTTAAATATACGCTGCCAAGCTTGGTGGTGTTCATTGGGACGCTGTCTTTCCGACAGCCCTGTTCTTCACCTGAGGACGGCTGCTTGCGTTGTGGCCGAAACGTCGTGAGAATTTTATTTTCTGTTTTATTTTTATAATTTTATTATTTCCCTTCTACGTGACTTTACCGGAAGAACCAAGAAGGTTAGTATTATTATTAAGGTCATTTACCCAGCAAAGCCTCGCTGAGTCTCAAGACTCTGATTGCCACGTTGTCACAGATTGGGGGTGGGGGGAGGGGGGTGTTGCTGCTGTTCGTAATCCCGAATGAAAAATGTGCAGGTGATTGATTTCAGATTTTGGGACGTTTTGGCCAATACCAGCTACGTTGCATGTTTCGTTTTAACCATGGGAGGAAACTGGAGGACCCGAGTGGGAGAACATACAACGGTGCCCTAATCAGCACTCGAACCCAGGCCCTCCTTGCTGGGAGGCACGAGTGTCACCACTGCACAACCCTGCCGGCATGTGACGTAACTGTCACCAGCATTTAGGGGAAACGGTCTCTACGCGAAGTGCACGGCGTGTGAATTCATTCCGAGACTTATGTCGTTAACGGTGTGCACTTTACAAACGCACTCCCTCCAAAGTGTCTCCTCCATTTAGCGCCTTTCAAGCGTGTCAGTAATTGTGATGGGAAAAGCCAACCTTGGCCATTGTGCCCTGTTCACACCTTTTAATTCTGTCCCTGTAAAACCATTCAACCTCTGCGGGAGCGGTAATGGTGCTTGGTTTAAATAGCAGAGCATTTACCATTGTCATTCAAATTGGCCATAGTAGTCTCTATACCTGAAGACCAATGGCCATTTGGAGGAAATGCTAAGTTCATTAGACAGCTGCCTTGTGAAGTTGGTTGTGTGAGAGATTAGTGCCATGGTTCTGTAACCCATGTCAATTGGTTCCACGGTGGCGAGATGTTAACTTCCTTGCCTGGTACACAGGAGGTCGTGGGTTCGATTCAGACTGGCGCCAGCTGCTATATATTTGGAGTTTGTATGTCTCTCCCCCTGGTCATGTGGATTTTTCTCCACGTCCTCCATTTTTTCCCCTTCACATTTAGAATCAACATGCGTTAAGAATATTTGGTTGCTATTCAATTCCGCATGACGATAAGCCACTTCGTTGAGTTATCATTTGTGGCCAGGTCGCTTCTGAAAAAGAGCTATGTAGCTCAGTGGCCCTTACCTGGTGTAAAATAAAAAATAAAAGTTAGTTTGTTCAATTCGTTTTAATCAATGTCAGTGTTACCGGCTCGTGCCACTGTTGGCTGATGGCCTCTGGTAGATGGAGCTCGGGGGAGGCCCTCTAGATGGGGGTCACCTCTACCACACTCGCCAGAGGTGGCAGTACCCACACTTTACCCCACCGCACTGCGACCTGCCGATCGACTTGACTGTGGCGTCACCCATTTGTTACTGCTGCTGGGTGGACGTCGTTTTCAACCGCCGTGCCAAGCGGATTGAACTGGCGCCCTCTGGATTGCAAGGTCATTGTGCTCACCGCTAACATTGACACTGCGGAAGTATCCCGTTTGAGTGAATGCGTGAAGCAAACCATTTTGCGTTTTTTGTTGTTGAGTTTCTTGTCCCCCCCCCCACACATCCGATTAGCACGGTTGGCTACGTACGGTGCGAAAGAAGTTGAGCATACGTACATACGTCGGGTCTCTCGGTCACAATGCCTCTCGCCTGCATTGCATGAACAATGCTGCTCGTTGAATTTTTTTTGGATGAACAAAAAAAAATGCGATGCTCGCTGAAGTGGGAATTTATCCTCGTCTGTCCCCGCTTCCTGTCAGACAAATGGGTTAATCAAATCTAGTATTTGGCTGCAGAAATTAATCTGTTTTTTTTTTATAATAATTATTATTGAGGGACTGGATTGGAATTCATTGTTAAGCCGCAGACTGAAAATACATTACCGTGGCACTCGTTACGAAAACATTGCCTTAAAGCTAGCGGTTCAAGCTGTGCATATCTTCAGGTGAATATCATATTTCTCTGCTCTGTGAGAAAGGCCTTTGGAAAATTCACCAGATGCATGCTTTCATTTATCTGCAAACGAAAGTGGTAAAGTATGGTCGACCTCGTCAATCATCGATTTGTTTATCTCTGGCATAGGTTATCGGTGCAAATTGTGCTAAACTTGACAGCCTTGTGTGTTGTTGGCTTTCGTCTGAGAGGTGCAGGGAGTCGGTTAGGTGGCAGGCTTGAGTATGGTACCACGGGTCTGACTCCGTTTTGTGGTTGTTTACTCAGGTAAGGGCATGTGAGGTTTTGCAAGACATTATCACTGCATCTGCAAACTTCTATGATACCGCCACGGGCCGAGGGAACACATTGGATCTTCCGCAGGTATCTGTGACCTGTCCGAGATTTTTAAACTTCATTGTTAAGCAAAACAAAACGGGCAAAAATGTACACGTGTGACTGGTTTACAAAAGTGTGATCTGTGTGCATTGTGGCGATAATGCCACAGACAACGTGTCATGGGGAGCGTGGATGTTAGTTGGGCATGTGGTGGGAGCGGTGGTGTAGCGGTTAGCGCGCTGCGCTCTGAACCCGGTGACCCGAGTTCAATTCCCGCCCACGGCCCACACCAGTGACGATTATCTGAACCGGTTCTGTGCCTCCCCTAGATCGACTCAGCCTCAAATGAATACCTGGTGTGTAAACATTGCCACTGGGGAGGCAAAGGCGGCCGGGCGTGGTGCTGGTCACCCATCCCCTCTTGTGCCGTGCTGGCTTTCATAGGTGCTGCTCGCTAACAGCACTTGCTCCAACAGTTTGTTAAGGCTATACAGGGGTCTTTGTCTTTGTGTGTGCGTGTGCCTGTGTGTGCGCATGGCAGTGCAACGGTTAGTGTGCTGCGCTACAAACTCGATTCCCGATTATGGTCAACACCAGTGACGATTATCTGAACCGGTCCTGTGCCTCCCCTAGGTCGACTCGGCGTCAAATGCGTACCTGATGCTGTGTGTAAACATCGCCACTGGGGAGACAAAGGCGGCCGGGCGTGGTGCTGGTCACCCACTCCCTCGTGTGTCGTGCAGCCTTCATAGGTGCTGCTTTCTAACAGCACTTGCCACAACAGGCTGTTAAGCCTATGTGTGCGCGTTGGTGTGTGTAAGGAAGTAAGAAATCATTCCTTACGGAGCACACTGCTACTAACAACCTTATCTTACTTATTTGTTGTATTTCTCTGCCTCCATAACTATATTCAACAGTAATTCTGTTTATTGAATTCGTTTTTATTTTGTTCTGTACTGTTGTGAACAACTGATAAAGATTTTCACTCGCAATAAAAGCTGCATTTAATCTCTTTTTGTTACTTTCCAACTCCCAAAACAGGGAGAGCATTATTTAATTATCTACATATTTTTGAAAAAAATTCCCGCTTTTATTATTGCCCTTACACGCGTTCCGCGATTGTGTCATTTGTGAGATTGGATTCTTTGCACGAGCCACGCTCGGCAAAACTTTAGAAGTTTGCTTCTCCAGATGCCACCGCCGATACATTCATCGCACACTCCGATTATTGTTTTAAATTCGCTCGGTGTTACGACGCAGGAGACGTAGGAAGACGCGTGAACATTGTCTGGACGTGTCGCGTCACCCCCCGCGGTAATGAGATGTGTGGCTCAATGGGCTTCGCTCGGGGAGCAAACCTCTGGCTTCTAACTCGAATGGTAAAGAAGTGGCACGGCAATACGAAAAACGCCTACTCGCTTGACGAATCGAGTAGCCAAATGGAAGTGTTTCTCGGGCAGGGGGACGGGTGGCAAAACACTTCAGAAGGCACTTTGTCTATAGTACGAGCACTTGCACAGGCGTCTCGACGCTCCCATCTTTCACCATTCCGCACTGACCATCGTGGTGAAATATGGTCAAACAACCCCCCGTTGGGGAGTCGCTCGCCCAGCGGTGGATCGACTACTGCGACCCCTACTGTCTCCGGTTTTTCGCGGTTGAGCTGTACATCTCTCCGGGTTGTACCGCGCACCGTTCGGCGCGATGTCCGACGTTTCGCTCCACGTCAATGTCGGAGCGAGCCGTCGCGCATCATCCCGAGCAGCACGCGATGCAGCCCGGAAACGCGCCGGAGAGAGATGCGTGCGTCGGTACGTCCATGTGCTTCTGTCTCTAAGCCAAACGGCTTTGCTGCGGCTTAGACAGGTTGTTTACTATTTACTTTTTTTATCTAAGCAGGTAAGGTCCACCGAGACATTTTTCAGAAGCGACCTGGCCACAAATGATAGCTCAATGAAGTGGCTTATTGCATTGAAATTTATCGCAGCAAAATATAAATATAATCTCAATCCATGTTTCTAAATGTGGAGGGAAAAACCAGAGGACTCGGAGAAAAATCCACGTGATCACAGGGAGAGAGAGAGAGACACGCAAACTCCAAATATACAGCAGCAGGCGTCAGGGTCGGGATCGAACCCACGACCTCCTGCACGCCAGGCGGGCTAGATAACATCTCGCCACCTCCGCTTGTTTATTTATTGATCATCCCTCCCTCCCTGCTGTGTCTCCTCTTCTTCTCTCCCTGCCTTGGCGCGCGCGGCCTTTGCCCTTACAGCCGGCCTGAAGCCCGAGACGATGAAGCTGCTCTCGGCTGGCGCTGCCGGAGGCTCCAAGCGGAAGGGGAGAGGAGGCGGCGGTGGCCCGAACAAGGAAGACGCGACCCCTGCGGAGGAGGCCAAGGCGGAGGGCGCGCAGCCCGTGCGGATCACCTTGGCCTTCCGGAAATACGTGTTCGACCCCAACAAGAAGATGGTGCAGGCCTAGTCGTCGCTACCGATCGGTGCCTGCCCACCGCCGGACAAAATCGACACACCGTGGGCCGTGGGCCATCCTTTGCAGTTTTGCGTTGCCCGTGGTCTGTCTTATCTCGCTCCTGTGTATGAACTCATGTCTCCCATCTCTGTGGTGGTGGTCTTTAGATGCACCTTCTTTCTCGTCTTTAGGCTGCCATTCCATCACCAGTCTTGTACATCGGCCGTTGTCCATTCGAAGAAATGTGCCCTTCCCAAGCCCATTTACCTTTCCTATAAAAAAAATCGGCATTCGTCAACAATGTTTATTATACTAAGTAAGGCCTGCTGAGCTATATAGCTTGCTTTCAGAAACGACCTGGCCACAAATGAGAGCTCAACGAAATGGGCTTATGTGGAAATGTATAGCAAATACTCTAAATGCATGCGACCACAGGAAGAGAGACACACAGACTCCAAATATACAGCAGGCGTCCGGGTCAGGATCAAACATACGACCTCCTGCATACCAGGCGAGGTAGTTAACATATCTCCACCGTGGTGTCCTTTATTAAAAATATAGGTGACGTTCCAAGGCAGTTGTCATTGTTTTCTTATTGAGCTTGTGCGCAAGCACACTGCCAAAGCAGCATCACCAAATAATTTGTTAAAATGTCTTAAATGTCAATACGATGTTTCTGATTGGTGTTTGTTCTCTGATCCATGTGCGATTCAATCTGCCTCAGTATGATTTCAAGAATTAATCTCGCCACACGCTGCCCACTGACAAAGTATGTATGTATTATAGGCATCTTTATCAGCGTCCTTTAACATTTATCTACCTTGCAGCAATGTTTGTAACCCAGTGGAGTGTGCCTTAACTCTGGGAGTGTTTAGCTCTTTTGCAAAAAAATGGCAAAAAACAAAAAACATTTACGATTGCCTGAGCGTAGATGCACGAGAAATTAACCGACAGTTAAAGTTCAGTTGAAACAAAGTAAAGATTCTGTAAGCCGAATGGAATCCACAGCACTCTATTGGATAGATCATATCTCATCCTAAGCTGACCATGTGTCAGCCACCCATCATCTGGCGTGTATAGTTCTCATTACTGACGCTACATCACCCAATGAGAGATAACTTGTTGAGAAATGCCCATGGCCTTACACCTGCCACCATTCCATCAGTCAATTCAAATGATTACGCTTAGAACGCCCACAATTTGAACTTCATTCCGAGGCGAGCGGCAGATAACTCGGGCAAGAGCGAAGTTTTCACATTCTGGCAGGAGGTCGGCAACCGACGCGTGCATTGGAGGAGGGAATGCATCAGAATCATAATATTTATTTAAACTGGAGCAACCCAATGAACTATGAAGCTCTGTTTGACAAATGTCCAGTACCGGACGAGCTGAGCCGTGGCACAAACGAAGTTCACCGCGTCTGGTCCCATGGTCAGGCTTGACGAGGAGGTGAAGGAGGCTGTTGGAAATGGATCGGTGAGACGCGAGGAGAGGAATAGGCAGGTTGGTGGCAAATGGCACGCGAATTACACTGGATGCTGATTATAATAAAAAATATAAACTTTTCAATTTTTTTTACATTGCATTCTCAATTTGCCGCTAACTATAGAGATTGATCCAAAATCTGTGCCTGATTGGTGTGAAGTTAACTATCGCAGTGATTATTTGTGTACAAAGTGTTCACATTTTGTACATCAGGAATAATAATGAATACTCATATTTTACACTTAAAAAAAATGGAACGAATTATTTGGTGGTTGTTTCCAGCGTGTCTTTTGAATTTGGAAGCGAGAGCCACCACTGAAGCCGATGGGTAGCTGTCAGGGCAAAGAGTCCTTTTTGCTCTGTCTACCAAGCTTTTCGCCACACTGTCTACGCTGTCGGTAATGGGTGGCACCGTTTTAGAACATTCCTTTGATGAATTCGCCCAGTTTTTTTTTTTTCAAAAGGGTGAGTCCCAAATAGCAACACGACTTGACAGCGCAGTTTTGGCTCATCTTGGATGATATTCCCGAGTGTCTGTCGAGATCCCTCCATTACTGACGGACAAACGGAGAGCGAATGTATTATAAAAAGCTTCCAACTTTAATTAGACTGTGCGAGAAGAACGTCTGTAAGTCAACCTTGAAAGACACTTCACAAAGATGGACCTTCTTCTTGGTTCTTTGGGTAAAGTCACTTTGTCTCCCCGACAGACCTGATCTACACCTGAGGACGGCTGCTTGCGTTGCGTGACTTTACCGAAAGAACCAAGAAGATGAATCCCTGCAGTCACGAAAGCTTTAAATCGAAAGATGGACTTCTATGATTTAATGTGGCGTTGGCAAATCTAGGCCACAGTTATGCTTCGTTTTGGTCACACCTTTGACTGCAGCGCAGTTGCCGAGGGCCTTTGTTCAGCTTATATCGGTAACCGAGTACGAACTATTAAGTAAAAACTCAGTTTTATATCCTGTAGCGCCATTCCCACAAGGCCTCACAGCGCTTTACAACAGAATCACAGTTTAAAAAAACCTTTTACATTAAAATTAAGAGGGGAAAACAACCTCCACGCAGATGGACACGCGAGAAAAATAAAATGTTTTTAGGCGAGCTCTAAAAAGCTCGACTGACGGAGCATCCCGAATGGACCGGGTCGCCCGACTACTGAAGGCTCTGTCAACAATTGAACGCAGATTTATTTGTCCTTCACGTAAAGTTTGCCCGGTAACAGCCGAGTACCGATGGTTTTGCTGTGAATTCTGCTGGATTGTGTTACAGCCGCGCCACACACAGGTCTTAATAATCCCCCTCGTGGACATTGATCAAAGGATAACTTTAAGAAAGTTGCCAATATACAGGGTGCTTCAAAAAAATGTGAACACTTCCGAGAATTTTCAACAATACCACGAGAAAAGTGACTCCGGGCTCTGGAGACCACCTGGATAAGATTCCAGGCACGTGTTGACAATGATGGTGAACAAGTGGAGACTCTTTGATTTTTTGAAGCTATTAACATACATTTGTTATCATGTTACAGTGTATTATCAGTTATTTTTCCAATAAAAACGATAGTCCCAAATATAAGTGTTAAAACATTTTTGAAGCACCCTCTATGAGGTCAATCGGTGCCCTTGACCTCACGACTCCCTGCTTCTCTGCAACTCCAGGCTCAAGGCTTTCCTCTTTGTCAACTGCCTATGACTCGACTCCCTCTGGTAAACAAATAAAGCCCCACTGTTCCTGTACGGCATCGTGGAGATGCGATCACATCGAGAAGGAAGGCGACGCATTAACGAAAACTCTTACTACGCAGAATCTCGCGGAAAAAGACGTCGCAGATGTGCGCTCACATCGTATGCTGGATGCCTCCGAGTTGCGAGAGGAAACTCGAGAGAGTTGCCAACAGGGGTTGTTGTAAAGGGTTGGAACACGGATAATGGTGTTGAAAGGCGCGCTAGTTGTGACGTGATTGAGACGGACACTGTTTTGTCTTGCACACGCCAATCAGGCCAAGATTGAGAGTTATTTTTCGCGGTAGAAAGCAAATGAATGTTCATTAAAGAAAACAATGAAATTATCGAATGGAAGCTGTAATTAATGTATTTGTGATGGGATTTAAAATAAAAAAAATATGCAATTTTAGTGTGTGTTATGGGTTTCATTTTTAGCTGTTGTACACTATACACAATTGTTAAGCCTGGCAATGCAACGCTTGCAATTGTCGCCGACACTGATCATCATCAACACGGTCATCGGCACGCACCGGGTAGGTTTTGGACAATGCGTGTTTCAGTTATCAGCACGAGAGGGCCTCTGTATATTTGGGCGGTCCCTATGTATGTTGATATTCCCTAGAGCTGTGGGTTCAGTGAACCCTTCCATCTGCCCTGTTTCCCATCACGCGGGGGGGGGGGGGGCTTGCGGCAGTTAATGTGTGTGCCTCCGATCAGCACGGCTGGTCACGTACGGTGCCAAAGAAGTTCAACATACATCCGTGTGAGATCCTGACACCACTCACTTTAGGCTGCGTTAACGCAACAAAAATGAGGTGCTCTCTTTAGGAATCCAATGCGTTTCCGAATCCAAGCACTGGGCTTGGAGCATTTCTCATAAACCTTCCAATTATATAAAAACACACAATTAGCCAGACGAAAACCCCGATCGCCTGCTTTCACGAGCTGGTGCATTGTCGCGTCAAGGCAATACGTACTGCTGCAAAGCGATGTGTCACCACAGTTGGCAAAACATTGAAAATGTTGCGGCCTTTCGAACGGGGGAAGCTGGCCCAAGTTCATCGGAGCGTCACGAGTTTTCGGGAATTGCTGCGAGGCCTTTGGAGAAAACAATAAAAACAATAAAAAAACCACCTACATAATTACCGTCGTCATCATCGTCGTCATCATCATCGGCCACAGTTGTTCAGCGTCATTCGCCCGCTTCTTTTTTTCTTAATTTCTTGTCGTCATCTTCGTGGTGTTGTGCGTAGGTCGCGTTTCTCCCAGGTACAATGTTGTTTCCATGAAAGTTGAGTAAAATTACACGGTGTTTTTTTTTACTTTCTTCTGTTATAAATCGTAATCTGGAAGTGGCTCAAACCATCGCGAGCGTATTCGCGTTAGTTGGGAGCCGAGCTACTTGTGAGGACGTGTGCGCGATTTCTCGGAAGAAAGGAAGCTCCCGTGCGTTTGATTGTGGCCCGGGTTTGACGCACAGTGACTGAGCAAGCCGGGCAGGCTGAGCAGGTGGCCACTTGGTGAACGATCGATAGTGCAAGGTGAACAATTTCGGTGAAGTGTTTCAATGCAACGTCGATTTAAAAAAAGAAAAAAAATAAACTTTAAATAAAAACACGACGGGTAGCGTTTTGGGTGAAGGCTATTCTTCAGAGTACATGGCCTATTATAGCTGAATAGCCCTTCTAGGAAGAAGGGCCATTGCCTGAAACGTCGACTATTATGAATGTATTTGATTAAGTTCACAGCGTTATTGACGAACTTGGTGAGATGTTTTTTTCATGGGGGGTTGTATGTGTGCACCGTTGTCAACGCAGCAGCATCACCACAAAAACATGTATTTAATAATATTGACTGAAAGTCACTACATTAAAATTGTTGGTTTGGTTTTTATTTCTAGTTTTTTACATGTTTACAGAGCTGGTTCAGTGAGACCTTCTTGTCCATAAGAGGTTTTTTTTTTGGAGGGGGGGGGGGTGTGGTTCGATCTCGTAAATATAAATGCGTCGTTAAACCCGCGCCCACCCGACACAGCCAATTAGTAAGGTTCTATCACGGAAACAAAACATGTCGATTCCTTACTAGTTCAGCACACCGGTGGCGTTGGAGAGTGAACCCACGACAACGTTTACGATTCGAGCATCGTGACATTTCGCCGGTAATTGCAACCAGCATCACCAGGCGACGCATTATTAATGCCCGTGCCAAAATACTAGGCCAGTACCCCACAAGCGTGTATGTGAGCGGCAGATGTGATGCTTTCCTTGAGCTTTTTTATTTATTATCACATCACGGTGCGTGCACGCACATCTTCCCTTGCTCAGGTTGGTAACCCCCCCTCTCCCTCCCCCCGCTTTGCAGTCATCGATTGCTCTCGGCTCAGAATATTCGAGGTTCAGGCAACGGTTGAGATTCTTATGCTGGCCCAGCAGAGGGTGCCAACGTGAGGCCATTGAGCAAATATTGAGAGGGAAATCAGCAATTCTGTCTGGCTCACGCCCGTGCCCTTTGTTGAACGAGACGGAAATGATCGTCCGTCTATGGACCCAGGCCAAATGCTGTGATGTACTTGCTGGTGCCACCAGAGATGTCAACATTTTAGTTGTATCCGCAGTTTTAAATTGCCAATAAAAACGCATTTACATTCTTGAGCAAGTATGTAATCGCTTAATCCACTTTTATTATTATTATCCATATACAGAAATTGGTATGACTAAATAGTGCTACTTCTAGCGGTACCGAATTCTGCTCTTCCCGTCCATGGCATATGAAGGGGAGACCGCTGAGCATGAGTCGAGATGCTGTCTGCATCTTACGTACGCAAACATCTGTCGAAAACTTGCGTGCCACAGGAATAGTCCACGAGTCAACTCTGAAATTATGCACACCACAAAATGTTACCGAATTAGAATGTGCGGAGCAATCAATCATCGCCACATACTCAGTGAGACCTTTCCTGGGTAGACGAGATGGAATGACAATAAACAAAAACATGCCAATGGCAGACATAGCAGCAGCAGTTTAACACAGGGCTTCGTTTGTCACTGAATATTCTCAGGGTCGCTGGTAGACTCCCACCTACGATTAGCACCGTTGGCTACGTCCCGTGTGAAAGAAGTTCAACATACATACATACTGAAGTAGGCACGTGGCTAGTAGACACAGCCAACGCAGAGCAATACTGGATGTGGTGTGCTGGTTGGGGAATGTTTTTTCGGTTGACAAAGCTTGGACAGACAGGGATGAAATTAAGGCCCGATTACAGGGTGGTCCAGATGTCACGTGACCTCCAATTAATTGACCCCTAACATTTGTTTCGCATTGCTTATTCATTGCTGTGCTCACGCCCATTGGTACAGAATAATATTCAGTTTTGGAGAATGAAATCGAGGTCGCACGACATCTGTACCACCCCGAGTACGAGTACATTACGTCTCTACAACTCAATTGGGCCAATGGCCGAATGTGCGTTGCTCGTAAGACTCAAGGAATATGAAAACAACACGCACAAGACATGGGGACGTGAACATGATTGTTGGAGTGTACGTGTAAAAGCGAGTACAATTGCTTTTTTGACTACTTGTGTTGTGGTTATTGGAAACATGATGCCTTGAATAAAGGTCTCAGTTTTGTACCAGTTTAAAAGGGTGAAAACCTACTACTATATTTTGCCACTGGTAAAAGATATCTCATAGTGTAAATGCTTACCCCGAGCTCTCAATACTCTGACATTGCACTGTTTGAGTTGTACGCCTTCTGGTGTCATCTGGTCCAACACCAATGGGGACTAGGCTCTAAAGAAAGCCGTCTTCGGTGTGGACCAATCAACTTCAAGGACAGTGCATATTATGATCATTATCAGAGTTGCTTATTTTTGTTTGCTTTTTTGACTACTTGTGTTGTGGTTATTGCAAACATGATGCCTTGAATAAAGGTGTAAGTTTTGTACCAGTTTAAAAGGGTAAAAACCTACTACTACGAGTACAATTGGTTTAGAGCGGTGGCGCAGCGGTTTGCAATGCGCCTTGTGGACCCCGTTACCCGAGTTCGATTCCTCGCCACGGCACGCGTAGTGGCGCCACGGTGGCGAGATGTTAGCTACCTCGCTTGGTACGCAGGAGGTCGCGGGTTCGATGCTGACCCTGACGCCTGCTGCTGTATATTTGGAGTTTGCGTGTGCTCCCCGTGGGTCACGTGGATTTTACCTCCGTGTCCTCCGTTTTTTTTCCCCTCCACATTTAAGAATCGACATCACGCGTTTAAAGAGTATTTGACTGCTATAAATTTCCGCCTATCGTTGATTGCCAGGTCGGGTCTGAAAATAGCTATGTGGTATAGCTCAGTGGAGCCTTACCTGGCAACAAAAATATAAGATCGTTGAGTTTTTATCCATAATAGAGGTTTTTAGACAGCCAACTAGTAAGGGTTGTCACGTGAACAGAACGTGGCCAAGTCGTCAATAGTGTAGCACACCGGTGTGTTGGAGAGCCAAGTAACAACATTTACAATCTGAGTACAACGTTTCGCCGGTAATTACAACCAGCTTCATCAGGCGACAGACATATTTAGGTAGTGGCGGGTTTAACGACACATTTATATTTACGAGATCTAACCCAAATAAACCTGTATTACGGGTGATATTGGTCGCCAAAGCCTATGAGTTAAACAGTTTCGTTTTTAAACTAGATTGGAAGCTTTCGTGACTGCAGGAATTACTCTTTGGTTCTTTCGGTAAAGTCACGTAGAAAGAAATAAAATAAAATAATAATAGAGTACGACGTTTCGATTGCAACACAAGCAACCATCATCAGGTAAATATGAATGATAAAAAACGTAGTAAACTTGGAAATGTAATGCAATACAACACAGAGAGTCGGCTAACACAGCAGTCAACACCCCACCTGGTTGATTACGTTCTTCCAAAGATTGCTAAATGTGAGAGAGAGACAAAACATAGACACGGAGACACACAGACAGACACACAAACATAGCGAGACTCACACAGAGACACACAGAGAGAGACACACACATAGGCACACAGAAAGACAACGTCTCTGTGTCGAGGCCTTACATAGAGGGGGGCTGGGGCAGAGGGGGAGTTGTGTGGAATTCCTGCCCATGGGGGACGGACGAGCTGGATACTAAACTTCTAAACAAACAAACATGGAGCGTTGTGTGGAATTACTGCTCATAGCGGCCGGAGGAGAGAATGGACTGAAAACCAAGCACGGTAGAAAGCAAATTTAGTAAAATTAGGAAGTGTAATGCAATGCAAAAGTTTCGTTTTTAGTTTAGCCACGCGGCAGGCATCAATCGAGCCAATGAAATATGGCCCATCCATGGGCCTTCTCCTTTATCAATGAATGAACACCACCATGCTTGGCAGCGTATATGTCTTTCCGACAGACCTG